GGGCTCTATTTTTGTGCCTCGCTGGAGACGTGGCGCAGGCGCGATGTAAGTCAGGTCCGCCGTGTTCCCAAGCGCAATTTGGTATTTTGGTGAGTGGCGCAGCCCGGCGTTAGTATTCCCCCTCCCTAACTCAGCTCCTCCCAGTGGCGTAAGTCGTAGGGAGGGAGGGGACAGGGCGTGGAGTGGGTTTAACACAGCCAAGACCTGTTTTCACCAATCACATAAGCTCCTCCCCTCGCCTTTAAATCTGCCACTGGCGAGGTGTATTACAATTTTCATGAAGTAGTCAAAGAGATCAAGAGATGTCTGAACACAACAATGCCACATGATGGCGGCAGAAGGCAGCCCCACAAAAAGTGTCGCTGTAAGCGCTGCAGAGGGCATCCTGCACACTGTCTAATATAAGCACAGATGGATTTGGTGTATGTAAGGTTGGACCCACTGGTAAGACAAACACCTGTTTTCACAAATAAAGACACTAACATAAAGTCTCATATATTTAAACCTCATGTGACAAAGGTGGGTTGCACACAGATCACATAAAATCTGAACCATCTGTGCGTAATGACGCATCGCGCTCCGTGGCCTGGCTGTTTCTTTCATTGATGTTGGCATATAAAATAAATTTGGCTTACAAAACTGAATATTATAATATTCGTACGTAGGTTTAAAGTAAATAACTCATCTGATCACCAAAATAGATCATCTGTTCAGCCGCCGCAGCAGCAGCAGGACGGGGAGAGGACACGGAGACATGTCCAGGCCGGGCTGCGCGAGAAGTAAGAGAAAGAGGAAGATAGAAATAGGGAGAGAAGAATTACATATTTTGTTAACTTCATCATGTGTGTTTATGTACTAGATATTTAATTTAATGCGGTTTTAGCTGTGTTAATTTGGTCAGGTTGAGTGTCCAAACGTGTGCCAAATGCACTCATCAAATCAGATATAGATCAGAATATATTTATATAGAACTTAATGTATGTGCTGACTCAGAATATTAGTTGTTGTTATTATTGTTACATTGTGGAAACCTGCCGGTGAGGCATCAGTGATTTATGCCGATACGCCGCCGGTCTACCAAAATACCACTAGACCAGCTGTGCTCCGCTTGCGCTAAAAGCTGACCAGGTTTGAATCGGTGAGTTTTCAGCGCATTTTACACGCGGGCGGCGAGCATGAAAATGTCACTGCGCCAGCTGATTCTGTCGACCCCCCCCCCCCCCCCCCCACCCCCCACCCCGCTGCGCCACCACGGCCAGCTTGGCAGACCTCGGTGCGCCTCAGTCCACGAAAATACCAATTCAAGATTAAGCCTTTAATATCGCGAAGCCATTTTTGAAATAGTTTCAACTGGTCATCGAGCCTCTTTTTCTTGGTTATCTGCGTAACTGACAAGTCACCTCTGAACGCCACCCAGCAGGCCCAAAGTCATCCTCTGAGCCAGAGTGTTGCAGTGAGACCAAAGGAGCATTCAAAAGGATCCATAAGGCATTGGTTTTTGCTTCGGGCCTGTGTGCTGTGACTCCCAGCCTGTCCTTCGTCTGACTTTGGTCCTCTTCAGAACTTCTCGAACCAGTAGCCTGGACCTTCTGAACCTGCTCCATCTTCTCCAAGGACCAGCCTCACTTAATTATCCAAACCTCCAGAGCTCCAAACAGGGCTGATGCTGTCTCATGCAGTCAATTCAGATAACCACATCCAAATTGATCTTTACACCAAAGTTAATGTAGGTTAATATGTTAGAGCATATTCACTCACTATCATTAACTTCAGTAATCCTAGCCTGATGCAGAATCTTTAATTCACCTGTTATCTATATTCATCTTATCCTCATTTATTGCATGGATGTTGTACAATCATTTATCCTGTAATAAACAGATCATTTATTTTTCTAAGTTCTTGTCTTTTTGTGTTCTTCCAGAAGTGGAGTCCCTGAAATGAGAATTTCGGCTTGAGATATGAGATTGATTAATTTAAGATTAACCTGATGTTTGATTTCTGAATTAAACTTTTGTTTTTTTCTGTATTTTCCCACCATTAAAAGGTGGATGCCCCTTTTAATGAGTGCATGAATGTCATAAATTAAGATTATTATCAAGTATTAATCTTAAGACATTTATCATAAATTCAAATCGCTATACAGGTTTTACACAAGTGTCCCAACTTCATTGGAATTGGGGGTTGTATAAAGAGTAAAAACAGACACAGATGCTTCAGCACAGAGTTTAAACAAAAATCTGTATTTGATTGGATTTCATGTTGAACATCAGTCTGACAAAGTATTGTTCAATGTTTTGTTTCAGTATTTTAGTTAAAACTATCTCAGACAGTTGTATGATAGTTTCATTCAGGATCATATTTTTCCTAGTCGTAAAAACTTGAGTGTGGAGGAAGAATATTTTACTGCGTTTGATCAAATTGGCTGAAAATGTATTTCTGTCTCAAACTTCCTCATGTCAGAGAAAAAACTAAAGCCTTTAACTTGACCTAAAAAGTGTACTAAGTCATCATTTCAACAGCAAATATTCTCTCACTACATGAAGCTCCATGACCTGTCATTGTTCACTGAATGATTCAGGTTCTGAACATATGTCTAAAGAATTTATGAATTAGATTTTAAAAGGAGGAAGTTGATGTGTACAGTAATGTACACATAATGTGATGTACGACCGGTTAACTAGCATGGTATGCTAACACCAACAGGTGTTATGTGAAGTTTTACCCTGTCAAAGAATGCCACCATAGCACACATCAGTGGAAACTCCATTCCTTGAGGTAATGGAATTAGGAGAGAGATTGTGTAAATGAGTCAGATGACCATCATACATCACTGTTTTTACCTGAGCACACAGTGCAGGTGCTTTGCTATCCCAAATCTGAAGGTTTCCCCTCCCATCTTGTATCCACATGGCACTCTGTTCTAATCCTGGACATGACTGGGAGTGTAGTACTCGATGTGTCCACAGGTCATCTCCTCTTTTCAGGCTGCAAGTTGAAATAAGGCACTTGTATTTTTGAGATGCCAGCTGGCAGCACGAGTTTGGTTTGGTTTTTGATGGATCTCTGATAGCTAGATGTTTGGGTTCCTACCAGAGACTGCAAACAGGCTTCTTACAGACATGCAGTTTGTCTCTTACCGTTAATAACATCATCTCAGTTTAGGGCGCATTTACACCAGGACTGTTTGGTTCATTTTAAAAGGACCATGGTCCCTTTACTCCTTTGGTCCGGATGGTATGAATGCGAAAGCGAACCGTGGTCCGAATCAAACAAACAGACCATGGTCCTCTTGAAAATGCTGAACTATGTCCCCTTCCAAAGGTCTGTTGCAGGTGTGAACGCAGCCCTGATGCCGCCGGACTGTTTATATGTCAATATAAACCAATAACACGTTTACACATTTGAAACCAGGAACTTATGCCTGGCCGGAGGTTGCAGCAGACGGAGAAAAGCCGGTCAAAACACCAGACTGTCTGTAAAACTGGACAAATGGCAGAGGGTTTGTGTTCTAATACAAGAGTCAGGTGATAAATATTAAAAACCTGGGTGTTCCTCTCTTCAACAAACATGATGACAATGTGTTACAGGCATTCCTTTGCATTAATGCCTGGCGTCTCCTTGCATGACGTCTCCACCACCTCTTGTGAATTGAGTGAAGCAAGGCGCCAGTTGTTCTCTCTGGTTGGCTACTTTCTGTGCCTTGTGGGACAATGAAGATTGAGCCCGAAATGAGTGGGTGACAGACGGTGATTTTCCCTCCTAATTTTCCCTCTTTTTTATCACTTATTTTGTTTTGCAAAAGTCCTATGTGAATGCTAACCAGACCAAATGCAAAATGCAACAATGTAAACATTTGGTCCCTAATCCGGACCTTCAAAGCGGACTTTGGGTGAGAAAGGCCCCTTAGTCAAAAAAACATTCAAACACTGAACTAATACTTTTACGTCATAATTTTCACTGACTAAATCAGCAAGATTCAGAGTAAGGTGAATTTGATGTTTGCGTCCCAGCTCTTGTAACCCACGTGTGAGAGTCCTTAGGCCAGACAGTGAACCTCAAATCACTCTTGAAGGCATAGCCATGGGCACAGTGTGTGAACATAGGGGAATGTAATTAGTCCTGATTGTCAGTACAGCACTCGATATGGCAGCCTCTACCATCAGTGTGTGAATGTGTGTGTGTGGAAGTATGAATAGTAAGTAACACTTGGAGTGGTTTGAGGACTAGAAAAGAGCTTTTAAAACACAATTACTGCATGGTAGCTCACACTGTTGGTATAAATGTAACAAAGTCTTTCAATTTAAAGAGCTTGTTTACTTAAACATTAAAAAAAACAAAAGCCAGAAACACTTTATGTATTTACGTAACAGAGAGAAAGTGTGGGTAGAGAGGAAAAACATGGAGCTGCAGATGTCTTGAAGACACAGATAATATGGTCTCTGAGCTGGCCAAATTTCTGACATACCCAAATTCAAACTGATCATCTGCCAGCCAGATCGTCGATCGTTCAGGCAAAAAATCTGGCAACATTTTCTCTCCTCAAATGCCACATGGAAAACAATTCCACTCAAAACTAAATGAGTCATGGTTGACTCACCGAAGGGCACGGAAAGGTGTAGGAGAGAAAATCGGACACAATCTGCAGCTTTGAAGGCAAAGGTGAAAAAGTTAAGCATGTGTAGATGTGCATGACTAAAAAAAAATTACCCTGCATTAACATTTTACGTATCATCTATTCTGAGAACAAAAGTCCATCACTTTTTTGACTCGTCTTCTATAAGTTCAATTTATGGGGACCCAGCTCTGCCTTTTTCTTTAGAGTCAGGGGGATCAGTATTTATGTGACCGCCTCGCAGATTGTGCTTTTGGCTTTCACGGACAAAAGATGTATGGAGTAAATGACACACTGAGCTTTGAGCCATCTATTATTACTCAGGTTTAATAGAATTCACTCCATGCCCACCTGCAGAGATGTGAAGTAGCTCCCTCACCTGTGCCATCAGTCCAGCCACTCTTTGGTCTGCCCCACGCAGTAGCCCTCCATCCCCACGCAGTATATTGTGAAGGTTTCAGTCTGTGGATGTTGCAAGAAAGAGAAGAGGGACGGAAACACTGTCAAAAGGACAAAGCAGCTATAGACCAGTCTAGTCAAGAGTGTCTCAGCACCACAAGGACTGTTCAAACCATTCCTCAGAGGGGAGCAGCTGGGACCAGGGGAGGGTGAGAGATCACCATGGACTTCCAGGCTGACATCTTCATCATGCATGACTGAGAGGAGATGAATGAGTGAGAAAAGTGTGAAAATCGAACACCTACGGACAAAATTGTTTGAAAGAGTCCTTTTTTATGAGAGATGGCGGATCAGCTCTCAGAGGCCTAAAAATGTCCAACTCTCAGACGTTACTTTGAAGCAAACATTTAGGCGTGTAAATATGTGGGTATGTGATGAGATAGTGTGCTGAGTCATAGTTCTGTCATGTGTTAGATCTTCTCCTATCAAACCCCTTAAAACACTGATTCAGAGCAGGTTTTGTTCTTTTGACCCCTTATAGCCAATGCCCACTTGCAGCCTGTCCTCATACAGATATGACTTATGAGCAATTTGGTTAAAAAAAAAAAAAGATTTTTTTCTTCCACTTTGTTCCATTTTGAAATACTTTACATTTTAAACCATTTTAAGGGAGTAAGTGTCACTTGCCAGAGTAAAAACAAAAAGGGAAAGGACCCAAAATGCAGACAAAAAGAAAGGATTTATTTAAAAATAACTAAATGAAAAGCAGCAAAAACTTACTTTAAAATGTCTTACCAAAAAAATCCAAAACGCACAAAAAACACCGGGGGAAAAATCACAAGGAACAACTGGGGACATAAGCATACGCGTGCACACACATCGACATACAAAGAACCAACCAGGATTGAGGGGAAGACAGAAATTATATACACACTCGGAAACAAGCGACAGGTGAGGCAGACTAGACACTGATGAAACTCATGGGTGATTAACGAAGAAGGGAAAACTAGGGAAGCAAAACCAGACTAGAAACACAAGGAATCAACTACTACAAAATAAAACAGAAATCACTGAAAACTGATCTAAAGAATAAAACACGAAGAACAGGAGGGAAACAGGGTCAAACACAAACTAAAAACTCACAAGACTGGACTACAGGGGAACGGGAACAATAGGGAAAATACACAAACTGCACTGAAATGAAACCAGGAACAAACTTAATAAAACTAAATAAACAGAACATATCACGACATTGAGTTTTTATAGTTTTACAAAATTTGAGATTAAAGCACAAAAGTGAGAGACAAACTCTTTCTGAGGTGATGGAAGCTCACTTTTTTGTTGTTGTTGTTGTTATGTACATTAAAACAGTGTTTAAAAAAGTGAGGTCACGAATGTATATTATAGGCTAAGGTTAATGCACACTGTATTTAAATCTAAATACAATGAATCAGATTGAATATTCTAAACTTTAGGGCCTTTTTTATCATTTCTTTGCTTAATTTTTTCTTACATGACTCATTTGTCCTTCAGATCGTCTCCAAAGTTTCTAAAATAAATACATTTTTGGAAAATACTTCATTTTAGTCTCAAGTGTTGATTAGGATGTTGGTTCTGTGTTGTTGTTGTTTTCAGATTTGGCTGCAGATTTCTTGAGCCTTGCCAAGCTGATTTAGAATTGACAAAGTTCAATCACTGATTATTTTTCAATTTTTTGGGGGGATTTGGAGCCGTTATTGGGTCAGACAGTCGCAGAGGGAGCATAGAGTGAGTCATGACAGGAATCAAACATGGTCAACAAGGAATTCAACCTACAGTGATGAGGCCCAAAACCTCCACATGTGGGATGTACTTATTCAACCAGTCCAGTTACTTCGAAGTTAATCATTTTTTTGTTATTATTATTATTATTATTATTATTATTATTTTATATATATAATCTGTTTTGGTTGGCACAAACTTCACTTGAAGCTCTCATAAGTCCAGTGTAAAGTTTCCACAGTCTGTGATGATTTGGGGGGCCATGTCATCTGCTAGAGTTGGTCCTCTGTGTTTTATCAAGTCCAGAGTCAGTCAAAGCAGCCTAAAGTCTACCAGGAGGTTTTAGAGCCCTTCATGCTTCACTTGAAGAGAGGCTTAATTCCACATACCATTTAAATATGATTACATCAGACTGATTTTTCACAGTATTCATTCAAAAAAAAAAAATCAACTGTTGCAACCGACCCCATCCCTCGAACATTTACAACATGTCACAGATCCATTCAACTTTTTTTTTGTCTCAATGAGCATATTGGTCTGAGAATATGTATTATTTATGATATTATGATAATTTAATATACAACATGCTAAAGTATTATTTATTCATTAATCTAATATCCAGTATCGAGTTTTGTTTCTTTCTGCATAAAACATGGCCTACTTTGAGTCAATGTGCAGATGTCACAGATTTCAATGTTAGTAAGTGGATTGTGGATTTTACCAAGATACGAATACAAATCTTGATGCAAATGCAACACTGCATATCATACAACACTAGCCCGGGGACAGTCATGTCTGAAGACCATGCGCTAGTTAAACACACTGTTTTTAACAAATGCTAACCATGTAACTCAGAAATCAGCTAAACTACAATCAAAACTAACTAAACAGTGATTAATTCATGCAAACAGTCAGGACAGTATGACAAAAATAAACCATATTAAAAAAAATTATACATTTTGCATATATTAAAAACAAGTTGTTGTTTTTTTTGTTTTTTTTCAATAAATCAGTTTTATTTCCAATAAAAATAAATAGAGCATCTGCAGTATCACTGTCATCAATCTAGCATGTTTCTGATTGGAAGAATAAGTCTTGTAGCAACTGTCCCCAGTCTCCCCTATAAAAAAATCTTTTATTTTGGATTGGGTTTTTTTTGTGGACATTTTCTACTGTTTTCTGATAGTGGATGTTTGATTTTCCCTTTTTTTTTTTTACTGTAGAAACAGTCCAAAAAGATATATTTGGGTTTTTGAAACAGCCCATGCCTAATCAGAAATGTGTTGAATTATAGTGTCCACATCAAATAAGAATAAAAAGCTCAATTAAATCCATAATTCCTGTAATTAGAAATCCTGATGAGTTTCACACATGGTCATCATCTTCCACAAATGTGACTCTCCAGCAGCTGGCTGTGTGCTGGTCTTCAGCCCTCAGGGTGCTGGGCTGCACTATCACGCACCCCCTCTGTGTGGCCTTTAATGACATTTTTCTGGTTTTATTGCATGTAAATAAACAGCATGTGGGGGGGGGGGGGGGGGGGTGTGTGTTCATAAATATCTAGGTCTTGATACTTCAGTCAGTGTGTGTGTGTGTGTGTGTGTGTGTGTGTGTGTGTGTGTGTGTGTGTGTTAGTCTCCAGTCCACACAGCATAACACATAGCTAACCCCTGACCCCACCCTCTGAGGAGAAAGTGAACCCCTGCCTACAGTAATGGCCAGCGTGCTGAGGCTGAGGCAACAGGGCAGGGAAAGGGCATGAGGAGAGCAACGGCAGCAGGAGGAGAGGGAGAGAAGGATGGTCCGAGGGAGGAGACCGAGGCAGGGACAAATAGATGAATAAATAAAATGAAACAAATAAAAAAGACAAGGAGGTGAGGTAGAGTAATGAAAGTGTGCGCAGAGAGATGGGAACAAGAACAGTGACATGAGTGTAAATTAAAAAGGGGCCAAACTGTGACCTGAAGTCAGTGCTTATCAGAGGACAAAACACCATCATCAACAAAAAAAAAAGAGTTTTCTGAGAAGGGCCTTGTTTTGTATTACTCATGATGCACTACTTTACTGTTATTCACTGTCTTTTACAGAGCAGAAAATCATGTTTGGGTGCCTTTACTCTTCGTTTCACCCCTGCAGAGGCTGAAAACATGCAGCAGGCAGGATACAGTGCGGACTAAATGACTAAGCTGCGTGTGAAGACTGGTCTGGAAAAAGGTAGAGGTGCTACTGTGGGGGAGGATTATTGGCTCCTCCGTGTCGTCTGTTTTCTATATTCGTCCTCTAAATTGATTTTTGTTTTGTTGCTCTTGTTGCTGTCCATTGTGTCCGTGAGAGGAGGGTTGATAACGCTTTCGCCGGCCACGAGTCCCCTGTGGCCAATTTTCCCACCACTGCAACAACTCTGTCGCAAATTAAACTGTCATAACGCCCATAACCACAATTAATGACTGGGATTAGGGGCAGAAATCTGCATTACTGAACACCTTTAGGCGCACATGAGCTCTTGAGCAGGAAAGGGAGGGGAGGGGAGAGAAAATGGGAAGGGAGATGGAGCCAATGAAATCACAAAGCTGTAAAAAATGAGAGCAAAATGAACAAAGGAATAGAAAAACATCCAGAATTTGATTCATAGAGGAACTAACTGGAGGAAAGTTTGGACTGTGCATTCAGAGGTAATATCAGACACCTCTTTATGGATATAAATAGCAGCCTTAGATGCTAACAGGCCTCGTTTTAGCCTAACAGGCTTCCTACAACATGATTAACATCAGCAGGTGAGCTTTAATGCTAAATGACCAAATATGACACAGCAGCAACATTGTCCAATCGTGGGTTTAAATTAAATTTCCTCGGGATGCAAAAACGGCTCTCACTGGAAATTAATGACTTCCTTGGAGCGAACGCTAAGTGTCCGAGTGTGTTTTTCTATGTGTGGGAATAAGTGTTAGAAATGAACGATCTCTTGGAGCTCACGGTGTGATGAAGTCCAGGTCCTGCGGAGATGGTGCTGCGCAGGTCAGCGAGGATGGGAATCTTTGCGGCGTTCTCGTGCTCAGCGTCTCCTCACACATCACCTTCAGCCTCTCTGGAGCGTACCGTCAATGACAGAGAGAGAGGAGAAACAGCAGGTAAACTAAATTACTTAAACAGCGCTGCCAACAACAACTGTTGTTTCCCTGTGTAATGATACGGAAATGCAGAATTACTCCACCGCACAGGCAACAAGGCTTAGATTAAATAAGAAAAAAATATGGCCGAGAGAAGTACAAGTGACAGGTATGCAGACTGCGGGGGAGATGATGGGAGAGGGGATCACTGAGGGGTAAAAAATCATTTCCACTAAGTTTGATTACTAAATTGCGAGGAGCAATATGCTTCTTTTATGTGTGTTCAGAATGAGTCAGGCTGTGTTCAGCTGAGACTGTGGGGAACTTTCCAACACCACAATTTTCTCATTTAAAGAGACGTTTACAAAATAATGATGTAAGATAATTAATTCAAATGAACTTCCACTAAATAAGACTTGTGCTCAAGTGTCTATAACATATCTTACATATGTCTAGTGAGGAAAATGTGTTCCCTGTTTAATGTCTGGTGTCTCATTAGCTCCAACAGAATCATCTGACTTTGAACTGTAACTAGAGAGTCGATATTCAATTACAAAAAAAAGTCACTGAAGATTTCAGAGCAAAGATTAACAAGAGGGAGATAGAGGACATAAATAAGTCCATGTTTTAGATGTTCCTGTAGACTGTCAGCTTAAATTTGATGGACATGTAAAAGAGTTGTGCGAAACTGCTAAACTGTTTCCATTTAAAGGCACTACAGGGAGTTTTTTAACTAGTTAAGTTACAGACTGAAACCAATACTGGTGCCTGTATGTCCTTCAGAAACAAACAAGACCATCAGCAACAAGGCAGATCATTTCACTGTAGTTATTTTTAATGCTTTAAAATATGGTGAGGTGTCAGACCAGATAATTGTAAACAGGTTGAAAAAACTGTTTTTTAAGGGGACCTTAAACACAGCAAACATTCAAAGGAAGTGATAAATTTGTTGTTTTCAAGACAAAGAGGAGTTTTTTTTTTTTTTTAAACACTACTTTTGTCTGCACAGGACCATAGATCACAGACCACACTTCTACAGACTTGTGATTCATTAGATTTGAACTGTTCGCATTCATTGGATTCAAGACAAGAGTAAGAATTGCTTCACATCATCAATACTGGCATTAAAATAGCTTTATTGAAATGCAAAATGATGTTGTTCTGAGTATGTGATTTAAATTGCAAGTATAAGGGAAATTAAGTGTTGAAATTTAGTGATGAACCTTATTTTAAAACAATCGTAGTTTGACCAGCTGTAAACACAAAAACAAGCTATGCGAGCAGATCTATGAAGCATGGCAGGTAATCCAAGCTACAAGTTAGCACCTTAAAGGCTAAGATGAACTGTAATGAGCAGCTGATGCCTGATGGCAAGAATTATCTTGGCTTTAGTGTTTGTATTAAAACTCTTGTGAATTAGCACATAAGACAAAGTTACAACTAAAACTGGTCAGAATGTGGTTTGTTGGGCGCAGGTAGTCAGCAGTGGGGATGAAGCTCTTTAGATCATTTTAAGGTGGTTTGATAAACAAAGCAAATCACGTGTCAAAACATGTACAGTTTGAGAATGGAGAGGAATTCACTCTTCGTGTTTCTTTGTTCAGTCTTTACCCTGAGGCCTTTTATTTTAGAGGGTTTTAAAACCATCCCAGCCACATCATCAATTACAGAGCAGATTTCCGTCATGTATTTGGGTCTAAAGTCAGGACCTTTCACCAAATGGCTTTCACCGGATGTTAACAAGGACCAGAAAGAGAGATTACATTACACCAGTTTTAAGGTCTCTGCATTGGCTACCCGTTTTTTTTTTAGAATAGATTGTAAGGTTGTTTTATTGGTTTTTAAAGCTCTTAATGGCTTTTGCCCTTCTTGTCTATCTGATCTTCTTTTTCCTCATGAGCCAGGTCGAGCCCTCAGGTCTTCAGGAAGTGTTAACAATACCTAAAGTTAAAACCAAGACATACGGTGAGGCATCTTTTTATTACTATGGCCACCTCTATGGAACAGCTTAACTGAAGACCTGAGGACTGCACCTATTCTTAATGATTTTAAAAGCAAACTAAAAACGTACCTTTTTAGTGTTGCTTTTAACTAAATTTAGATCATTAACTCTGTTTAAGTGTTTTAGCATTTGTCTATTCTAGTTTTAATCACAGGATCGTCTTTTATTGAGCTATTTTGGTGCTCTTATTTAAGTATCTTTTACTGTTGTTTTTATTTCATTTTAGTTATTATTTCTTAATAAAATCTGCTGACCCCCCCCCCCCCCCCTTGAACACAGTGATCAATACAATAGAACCATTTCACTGGAAGGATACTACAAGGAAAGTCAGGCATCACCATGCAGATAATGTAATCCATGGCAACCCATTCTTAAGTAGCTGTAATGTTGAAGTCTGAACTAAAGTCGGACTGTACAGACACACAGATTTTCCTTCCCCGGAGTCAAGCTGCTATCATTAAGTCTGGCAGGCCCCTTTATTGGATTTAATTGGCTACTTCAGGAGAAACACACCTGAGAAGACATTCTGAGAGCCATTAAAAAATTTAAAAAAATACAAATGAAGCTCTGCAATGAGAAGGTCAATGATTAAAATGAGACACGTGCAAAAGTCTGGAAAATAGTGAGAGAAAAGGTGCAAAAACAAGAGGGGGTTAGGAGTATGATGTTGCTGTGCATCTCTTTACCTCCTGCAGGCAAGAAGGTTTATATGGTCTTACTGCAGATCAAGAGTGTATGTGTGTGTATGTGTGTGTAAGTTCATGCAGAGGACCATTTGGTGGTAGTGAGGTGTTTATTTTGGGTCATTATCATGCACACCAGCTTGTGTGTAAATGTACATGGTAACAGGTGTGTTCACGCCCTCTCTCTGTACCTTGTCAGCTGCAGTCAGCAGGTCATCAGCCATCTTGTCCAGGTTGGGGGCCTTGCCTGTGTGGATGAAGCACATCATCTCTTTAAAGACATCTGGCTCCATGTCATTTATCTCCACACGGTTCTGAACAAGAGGAGAGGACAGGGGAGGAGAATACACACAGGGGTTTAACGCTATAAAAGGCTGGAGAAGAAAAAGACAGATGCTTTGACAATCCTTCAAAACCACAGGCAGCAGCTGCAGAGTGTTTTGATTTCATGTGAATATTCCAAAAACCTCCCTGAATTAAACTCATTCACCTTGTTTAGCACACACATAGGGACAGCCAAGCAGTGATACAAAACAAGAACCAAGTGCCAAATAAGACGAAAAACAATCCTGAAGAACCCTCTGAGCAGTCTGAACACGTTTCAGCAAAACTCCATTCTTCTGTATTTATTAAATTCTTCTTTTTCAGCTGATTCCTGAAAATTAATCCTGAGCATTCATTCCTTGACTGTGCCTGCAGCCAGAGGAGAGGGCTTTATCGCTTGCTGGCACAGTGACGGTAACCTGAACCTTTTTCCTCAGCACGGAGAGGAAGAACAAAGCAGTAAACCAATTATAACTGTGCTTTATCGTCACCGTGGTGACCAGCGGCGGTTTTAGCAGGGTCAGGCTGGGTGTACCCACAGATTAGTGCGTTTGTGTCAACTCTGACCACTCGACAGCAACATAAACACGCTGAGAATGAATGGAGGGAAGTCTGAAGGCAGCAAGGTGGAGTTTAGAGGATGTGGTCTGCGAGAGTGGCCTTTAACAAGAGGACAGATAAGACACAAATATGCATAGCATAAATAAATAAATAACATCTGCATAGAACCTCCTTTTTTTTTTTAGGTTTAGGAATTATTAGACCTTAGCTTGAGATATCATTTCTCCCCTACACTTCTCCTCTAGTTTGTGCAAAATTTGAGGTCTCCAAAGATAAAAACTTCATCCCGTTTTGTTGACTCTTGAAGGCAGACCGCGTTGGAGTGTTAATGAAATTTAATAGCACCACATAACCACATTGCAAGTCAGATGAGGGACATTTCACAGGACTTCCCGCAGTATTGTGAGCATAATGCAAGCTTTCAGCAGCGTCTCATAAATAGACAGGGCTCCTGTAGTTACAGTGTCTGAGGCTCCCCCTCTATTCACAGAGCAGTCCTCTATTAGAGGCTTTCTTTATGAGCTCATTTGTCTCCCCTCTATAGAGTGCTGCAGAGGAGTGTTAACCCATCTATCTGTTTTCTCCGAATCATATGGGGACGCGGCCCACCGTCTCTCTCTCTTTCTGATGAAGACGCCCACTTAAACAGCAATTAAGATGCATTTCCTGGCTCTGTGCTTTATAATTTCCCCATCCGAGCCGCGCGGGCATCAATATTCCGCTGACATGACGGCTAAATCACCAAGGTTCAATCTCCCCCGCCTCCTATCAGATGAACACAACCAACTGTGGCACGAGGGCTCTCTGCAGCTCACACGTGTGCACAGACACACAGAGACATGTACAAATACGAAAACCACGGAGGATCCCAAATTCAGAAAAGATACACTCCTTGAACTTTTCAAGGACTTTCATGCACAATAAGCCACAAAATAAATCAATAAATACAAAATACCTCAAACTTTTTACTCTGTATCCCTATTTAAGCCTTCCTCATGGCAAGACAACCTTATAACACTGAGGATCCAGAGGCTGTTCATTAGTGTTTAATACATTAATTATACTTCATTTAACACTTTAAACATTTATAAATGCCGATCTTAAAACATCATTTGAGTGGCTTATTCACTATGTATTAATTATGAATACAAGGACCTCTAATATTAAGTGTTACCCACTTGTTTAAGGTTTTATTTACAGTGTAAGTTTTGAGGAGCTTTGTTTGTGTTTGTAAAAGCAGTTTTAAAGCTTTTGTGCATAACTTGTGTCAATTATGGCGCCCCCCAAGTGAGGAAGCAGTCCTTGCGTATTGTGTCCTCTACTTGCACGAGTAGTGATTTTTCACAAAAATAAATGAAAAGTCCACCAACACTGACCCCCCTCACACCAGTTTCAGGTGATAAAAAAATGGAACGTTAAAAAAAGTAAAAGCTTCTAACCAACATATCACCAGATCAGTCCGTCTTTCCAAAGTACTTTGCTCTGGGAGCTCCATAACTGACTATGCTTGCTGGGCCTTTTGGTGAGCACTGGTAACAGAGAAGCTCAGTATCAACAAGAGAACCATCTGGGATGGTTCCACCACATGTCAACCAATCAAAAGCTCTCCTCGTCTCATTTCAAAGCGAATTATCGAATTCTCCTGCTACAAAAAGGTCACACAGTTCATTCAAAAGACTTATTAACTCATCACTGAGTGTAATCCGCTCCTCTTTTTCTCTAACAGCCCCTACTCTGACAAAGAAGAGTTAAATGGATGCTACACAGATGGCTTCCTTCATTTTCAATATTCTGTCTCTTTGTCACAGAAAAGGTCAGCTCTGCTGAGACGGCCTGTAAACGGTCAATGGCACAAGTAGAAGTTCACCAAAGTTTGGCTGAAGATGTTTCCGTATTCCACTGGAGTTAATCGATTTTAGCAGCTGTGTTGCTATAACATCGTTTGTCCACCAGGGGTCACTGACAATTTCTTTTTTCCTTCTCTAAAACTTCTGTCTCTGGACCAACAGAAAAAGCTGAAAAAATAGTTATTCAGTCGTTTTGGTAGAGTTTCCTTCCTGCAGGCTCCTAACCCCACGCAAAATTTGGGGGAAAAAAGTCTGTGTTTCGCTTGTGCTGCTACTGTTTTTAAGTTATTAAATATTATTCTTTAGGTCATCCAGGGGTCACCCAGCCCCCCCGTTTGTTTCTAATGGGCTCGAAATGGAACCGTTCATTTCCGGAATGGAAATTTTTTATGGCACAAACCAGCACAAACAAACGGCACCATTTCGGGTCAATTTGACTATTTTCCCCATTTTTTTAAATTTATTTTTTCTTTTCTTTTATTTATTATTTATTTTTTGGGGGGGGGGGTGCTTCAAGTAGGTGAGTTTCCTCTGACAGTAAATGGCAATAATAATCATAATGATAATAATAATCCTAACACAAAACCCAGTAATGGGCAGCTCAAGAGTTAGAACCAAAAGCTTCCATCTTCCACACCCTCTATTGAGAGCTCTAAAATAGGCAGCATGGCTCAAAATAATGCACACCAGTATCCTTTTACCCTAATTTTAGTCAGTATTATCTCACTTTGTCTACAAAAAAAGCACTTTGGGCCCTTGGAAAAATTCAAAGACATCCTTGTCTTACAAAATTGTAAACATAGCGGCTTTATAAGTCACCAGATAATAGGGTTGCAGTCAACAAAACATCATGAAGGAAGACGTGCAGACGCACATGGCTGTTTGGAGAGGTGAGCACTTCCTGATGCAATAGAGAGAAAGATTATAATTTAAACTCTGGAGTCACCACAGAGGAAGCACAAAGTCAAGCTCTCCACTCACTTTCCTTCTCTCTTTTAACTTGTACTCAAACATGGCACTCAAACTGTCGAGCAGGCACAGACACAGAGACACACAAAAGAGAGGGATTTTCGTGCATGTTGATGCCACTGAAGTTTCTGATATCTGTTCACAAGCTGACTCGGGGCAGGAGAAGAGCAAGGGGGATGATTGGCAGCAGTGACAGCAGGAGAAGCATCACGAGAGCAGACGTGTGCGCGGCTGCATCCTCCTGACAGACTCATGAAGACCTCTGACGTGTGTGAGGCTGGAGTTTCACGCTGATAGACTAACTTGACTGCAGAGCGGCTGATACAATATGTTTTAATTAAGCTTGTCTTCCTGCTGCCGCTCAGCACAAACTGCTCCATAATGACAGCTTAAAAGCTTGTTTTCATCATAAAAAACAAGATTATTTTGAAGGGGCTTGTACTGTCTTTTTTTTTTTGTTTGTTTCTTTGTTTGTTGCACCTTTTGGTGTCCATAAAAATTCGAAATCATGTTTTGTCTCCCGCTGCAAAAGGACACCGAAGTTTACAAATCCTCTTGAGGCAAGGACAGTTCAGAAGACGCTCACATGGGGACAGAATTTAAAAGAGCTGCTGATTAACTGCCAAGAAAACAGTAAGATACTGTGTTTGCAGTGCGCATACTGCTTAACAATGCAAATGTCATCTAGACTCATTTCTAGCATCTAATTCATCCTAACTTCTGCAACGAATAATTCCATCTGTATTCTGAGGACATTCTGGGACTTTTTAAAACTGCAGAGCACACTTACCTCTGTTTGCACGCTCACATGGAGGTTCTGCAACATGCTGTACATCTGGCAGGTGTAGTCATTTCTGAGGAGGCAAAAAGCCAGCTTCTGGTACACTGACTAAAATAAGGGTTGTTATCGTACAGTCTATAGTGTATTAGCTTATCGTACTAAGTGTAACACTATCAATCATCCCTTATAGGAGACCCTCAGTTTATTTGCATTCATTTGGAGAGACTAGATAAAACAAAACAATCAGATGTGTCAATATTACTTTAACAGTTTTCAGGATTTAATTAATCCCTTCATTTTGAAATGGCATTTTTTTTTTATTATTGTATTACATTATAATAACACTGTGTGAAGTAGACTACTTGAAAAAAATAAGCAAAGATCAGATTAAAAAAATAAAAAGGTGTTCACATAGAGAAATGTCACCAAAGAGGATGGGGAGTACTGCCCATGAAGTCAAGTAATTATTGTGCGCATGCTAAATTGTAATTAATTCAATTGGTGAGGTGTAACCATGGTTACTTAAAGCTCCTGTTTTTTGCAAGGGAGAGGGGAGTTTGTCTTCAAGCTTACAGTTGCATCTGATCCCTCCACACTGATGAAGAGAGCTTCATCCACCTGTGGGTGTGACTTCAAGCTAAGTGGAAGTGGAAGGAGGGCCACTGTCAGTTTGGAGGGATTACGCTAGCCGAGGGCAAATGGAGGTTAGGGAATCACAGCACACAGTCAAAACAGTCGAAAAAAGCTTTATCAACAAGTAAGTAAGTGATTGATGGTAAATAAAAGAGTAAGTGTAG